GGTGGTGTTGGTGGGTGGTGTTGGTGGGTGGTGTCGGTGGGTGTTGGTGGGTGGTGTCGGTGGGTGGTGTCGGTGGGTGGTGTTGGTGGGTGGTGTCGGTGGGTGGTGTCGGTGGGTGGTGTCGGTGGGTGGTGTCGGTGGGTGGTGTCGGTGGGTGGTGTCGGTGGGTGGTGTCGGTGGGTGGTGTCGGTGGGTGTAGGTGGGTGGTGTCGGTGGGTGGGTGATGGTGGGTGGTGTTGGTGGGTGGTGTTGGTGGGTGGGTGTGGGTGGGTGTCGGTGGGTGGTGTCGGTGGGTGGTGTCGGTGGGTGGTGTCGGTGGGTGGGTGTCGGTGGATGGGTGTTGGTGGGTGGGTGTTGGTGGGTGGTGTCGGTGGGTGGTGTTGGTGGGTGGTGTTGGTGGTGGTGTTTGGTGGGTGGGTGTCGGTGGGTGGTGTCGGTGGGTGGTGTCGGTGGGTGGGTGTCGGTGGGTGTTGGTGGGTGGTGTCGGTGGGTGGTGTCGGTGGGTGGTGTCGGTGGGTGGTGTTGGTGGGTGGTATTGGTGGGTGGTGTCGGTGGGTGGTGTCGGTGGGTGGCGTCGGTGGGTGGTGTTGGTGGGTGGTGTTGGTGGGTGGTGTCGGTGGGTGGTGTTGGTGGGTGGTGTCGGTGGGTGGTGTCGGTGGGTGGTGTCGGTGGGTGGTGTTGGTGGGTGGTGTCGGTGGGTGGTGTCGGTGGGTGGTGTTGGTGGGTGGTGTCGGTGGGTGGTGTTGGTGGGTGGTGTTGGTGGGTGGTGTCGGTGGGTGTCGGTGGGTGTCGGTGGGTGGTGTCGGTGGGTGGTGTTGGTGGGTGGTGTCGGTGGGTGGTGTTGGTGGGTGGTGTTGGTGGGTGGTGTCGGTGGGTGTCGGTGGGTGGTGTCGGTGGGTGGTGTTGGTGGGTGGTGTTGGTGGGTGGTGTCGGTGGGGGGTGTCGGTGGGTGGTGTTGGTGGGTGGTGTTGGTGGGTGGTGTCGGTGGGTGTTGGTGGGTGGTGTCGGTGGGTGGTGTCGGTGGGTGGTGTCGGTGGGTGGTGTCGGTGGGTGGTGTCGGTGGGTGTTGGTGGGTGGTGTTGGTAGGTGGTGTCGGTGGGTGGTGTCGGTGGGTGGTGTTGGTGGGTGGTGTTGGTGGGTGGTGTCGGTGGGTGGTGTCGGTGGGTGGTGTCGGTGGGTGGTGTCGGTGGGTGGTGTCGGTGGGTGGTGTCGGTGGGTGGTGTTGGTGGGTGGTGTCGGTGGGTGGTGTCGGTGGGTGGGTGTCGGTGGGTGGTGTTGGTGGGTGGTGTTGGTGGGTGGTGTTGGTGGGTGGTGTCGGTGGGTGGGTGTCGGTGGGTGGTGTTGGTGGGTGGTGTTGGTGGGTGGTGTCGGTGGGTGGGTGTCGGTGGGTGGTGTTGGTGGGTGGTGTCGGTGGGTGGTGTCGGTGGGTGGTGTTGGTGGGTGGTGTCGGTGGGTGGTGTCGGTGGGGTGGTGTCGGTGGGTGGTGTCGGTGGGTGGTGTTGGTGGGTGGTGTGGGTGGGTGGGGTCGGTGGGTGGTGTCGGTGGGTGGTGTCGGTGGGTGGTGTCGGTGGGTGGTGTCGGTGGGTGGTGTCGTGGGTGTAGGTGGGTGGTGTCGGTGGGTGGGTGATGGTGGGTGGTGTTGGTGGGTGGTGTTGGTGGGTGGGTGTGGGTGGGTGTCGGTGGGTGGTGTCGGTGGGTGGTGTCGGTGGGTGGTGTCGGTGGGTGGTGTCGGTGGGTGGGTGTCGGTGGATGGGTGTTGGTGGGTGGTGTTGGTGGGTGGTGTCGGTGGGTGGTGTCGGTGGGTGGTGTCGGTGGGTGGTGTTGGTGGGTGGGTGTCGGTGGGTGGTGTCGGTGGGTGGTGTCGGTGGGTGGGTGTCGGTGGGTGTTGGTGGGTGGTGTCGGTGGGTGGTGTCGGTGGGTGGTGTCGGTGGGTGGTGTTCGGTGGGTGGTATTGGTGGGTGGTGTCGGTGGGTGGTGTCGGTGGGTGGCTGTCGGTGGGTGGTGTTGGTGGGTGGTGTTGGTGGGTGGTGTCGGTGGGTGGTGTTGGTGGGTGGTGTCGGTGGGTGGTGTCGGTGGGTGGTGTCGGTGGGTGGTGTCGGTGGGTGGTGTTGGTGGGTGGTGTCGGTGGGTGGTGTCGGTGGGTGGTGTCGGTGGGTGGTGTCGGTGGGTGGTGTTGGTGGGTGGTGTCGGTGGGTGGTGTCGGTAGGTGGTGTCGGTGGGTGGTGTCGGTGGGTGTTGGTGGGTGGTGTTCGGTGGGTGGTGTCGGTGGGTGGTGTCGGTGGGTGGTGTTGGTGGGTGGTGTTGGGGGTGGTGTCGGTGGGTGGTGTCGGTGGGTGGTGTTGGTGGGTGGTGTCGGTGGGTGGTGTAGGTGGGTGTTGGTGGGTGGTGTTGGTGGGTGGTGTCGGTGGGTGGTGTCGGTGGGTGGTGTCGGTGGGTGGTGTTGGTGGGTGGTGTTGGTGGGTGGTGTTGGTGGGTGGTGTCGGTGGGGTGGTGTCGGTGGGTGGTGTTGGTGGGTGTGGTGTTGGTGGGTGGTGTCGGTGGGTGTTGGTGGGTGGTGTCGGTGGGTGGTGTCGGTGGGTGGTGTTGGTGGGTGGTGTCCGGTGGGTGTTGTCGGTGGGTGGTGTCGGTGGGTGGTGTCGGTGGGTGGTGTTGGTGGGTGGTGTCGGTGGGTGGTGTTGGTGGGTGGGTTTCGGTGGGTGGTGTTGGTGGGTGGTGTCGGTGGGTGGGTGTTGGTGGGTGGTGTAGGTGGGTGGTGTTGGTGGGTGGTGTTGGTGGGTGGTGTCGGTGGGTGGTGTTGGTGGGTGGTGTCGGTGGGTGGTGTCGGTGGGTGGTGTCGGTGGGTGGTGTCGGTGGGTGGTGTCGGTGGGTGGTGTTGGTGGGTGGTGTCGGTGGGTGGTGTCGGTGGGTGGTGTCGGTGGGTGTAGGTGGGTGGTGTCGGTGGGTGGGTGATGGTGGGTGGTGTTGGTGGGTGGTGTTGGTGGGTGGGTGTGGGTGGGTGTCGGTGGGTGGTGTCGGTGGGTGGTGTCGGTGGGTGGTGTCGGTGGGTGGTGTCGGTGGGTGGGTGTCGGTGGATGGGTGTTGGTGGGTGGGTGTTGGTGGGTGGTGTCGGTGGGTGGTGTTGGTGGGTGGTGTTGGTGGGTGGTGTTGGTGGGTGGGTGTCGGTGGGTGGTGTCGGTGGGTGGTGTCGGTGGGTGGGTGTCGGTGGGTGTTGGTGGGTGGTGTCGGTGGGTGGTGTCGGTGGGTGGTGTCGGTCGGTGGTGTTGGTGGGTGGTGTTGGTGGGTGGTGTCGGTGGGTGGTGTCGGTGGGTGGTGTCGGTGGGTGGTGTTGGTGGGTGGTGTTGGTGGGTGGTGTCGGTGGGTGGTGTTGGTGGGTGGTGTCGGTGGGTGGTGTCGGTGGGTGGTGTCGGTGGGTGGTGTCGGGGGGTGGTGTCGGTGGGTGGTGTCGGTGGGTGGTGTTGGTGGGTGGTGTCGGTGGGTGGTGTCGGTGGGTGGTGTCGGTGGGTGGTGTCGGTGGGTGGTGTCGGTGGGTGGTGTCGGTGGGGGGTGTCGGTGGGTGGTGTCGGTGGGTGGTGTTGGTGGGTGGTGTCGGTGGGTGGTGTCGGTGGGTGGTGTCGGTGGGTGGTGTCGGTGGGTGGTGTCGGTGGGTGGTGTTGGTGGGTGGTGTCGGTGGGTGGTGTCGGTGGGGGGTGTCGGTGGGTGTAGGTGGGTGGTGTCGGTGGGTGGGTGATGGTGGGTGGTGTTGGTGGGTGGTGTTGGTGGGTGGGTGTGGGTGGGTGTGGGTGGGTGGTGTCGGTGGGTGGTGTCGGTGGGTGGTGTCGGTGGGTGGTGTCGGTGGGTGGTGTCGGTGGGTGGTGTCGGTGGGTGGGTTTCGGTGGGTGGTGTCGGTGGGTGGTGTCGGTGGGTGGTGTTGGTGGGTGGTGTCGGTGGGTGGTGTTGGTGGGTGGTGTCGGTGGGTGGTGTCGGTGGGTGGTGTCGGTGGGTGGTGTCGGTGGGTGGTGTCGGTGGGTGGTGTCGGTGGGTGGTGTCGGTGGGTGGTGTTGGTGGGTGGTGTCGGTGGGTGGTGTCGGTGGGTGGGTGTCGGTGGGTGGTGTTGGTGGGTGGTGTGGGTGGGTGCTGTGTTGAGCCTGCTTGTTCTGGTGCCCTTCGTGTTCTCCGCACGTGGGTGTTGGCGTGGACGAGAAGTGGCCACGGGAATCATGACACTGGGGGAGGGGGTCACTGGAGAACGGGGACACGGCGGGCAGACGCCCCACCAGGGCCACCAGGGCCACCAGGCCCACCAGGCCCACCAGGGCCACCAGGGCCACCAGGGCCACCAGGGCCACCTTCCAATCCCGCGGAACCCGTCCAGCGTTTCGCCTGGGGGATCGTCTCCGCCCCCGGTTGCCTTCCCTGGTCTCAGGGCTCCGGATCGCCCTCAGTACCTCCTCAGCGGATGGCAAAACCCCCCCGGGCAGGCCACTCACAGGGGGTGACTCTCCCCTGATCATGGTTAGAGTTGTGGCTCTACAAGTCAATTCGTTGATGGAATTAAAAGAGTGCCCCCTGTTAGCTCCCCTCCCCCCCCTCCCTCATAGCCCCTCCCCACTCGTAGCCCCTCCCCACTCTAAGCCCCTCCCCACTCATAGCCCCTCCCCCCTCATAGCCCCTCCCCCCTCATAGCCCATCCCCCCTCATAGCCCCTCCACACTCATAGCCCCTCCCCACTCTAAGCCCCTCCCCACTCTAAGCCCCTCCCCACTCTAAGCCCCTCCCCCCTCATAGCCCCTCTCCACTCATAACCCCTTCCCCTTCATAGCCCCTCCCCACTCACAGCCCCTCCCCACTCATAGCCCCTCCCCACTCTAAGCCCCTCCCCACTCATAACCCCTTCCCCTTCATAGCCCCTCCCCACTCACAGCCCCTCCCCACTCATAGCCCCTCCCCACTCATAACCCCTCCCCCACCCTCAGCCCCTCCCCCACCCTCAGCCCCTCCCCCACCCTCAGCCCCACCCCCACCAGCGAATGCCGCCTGCTGATTGGACGAGCCCCGGCTCGTAGGGGCCTGCGGAAGAGCTCCCCCAGGTTAGGGTAGCGCCGAAGGTCGCCCTCCTCGGCCTCGGCCATGTCAACGTGGAATGCCCACACGAAGAGGCCCAGCAGGGGCGCCCGCAGGCACGCGGGCAGCGCCAGGCCGTGGAGACGCCCCCAGGCACGCGACAGCAGCCTCGTGGGGACAGCCACAGCCAGCATGGACAGACACACCTGGGGGGAGGGGGGAGGGGGAACGGGGGGGGGTGGAGAGGGGGGTGGGGGAGAGGGGGGTGGGGGAGAGGGGGATGGGGGAGAGGGGGGTGGGGGAGAGGGGGGAGGGAGAGGGGGGGTGGAGAGGGGGGGTGGAGAGGGGGGAGGGAGAGGGGGGTGGGGGAAAGGGGGGAGGGAGAGGGGGGGTGGAGAGGGGGGGGTGGAGAGGGGGGAGAGGGAGGGGGGAGAGGGGGGAGAGGGAGGGGGGAGAGGGAGGGAGAGGGGGGTGGGGGAGAGGGGGGAGAAGGGGGTGGAGAGGGGGGGGTGGAGAGGAGGGTGGGGGAGAGGGGGGATCGGGGGGGTGGAGAGGGGGGAGAGGGGAGGGAGAGGGGAGGGAGAGGGGAGGGAGGGGGGAGGGAGAGGGGGGGTCAGGACCGCCCTTTCCTGAAACCGCATTGGGGCTCCGCAAGCCTCTCCTAAGCGTGCCTGGCAAGGCGATGTTAAATAATGCTTACACACTCACACTTACACACACACTCACACACAGTCGTAAGTGTTCGTAAGTGTGAGTGTTCGTAAGTGTGAGTGTTCGTAAGTGTGAGTGTTCGTAAGTGTGAGTTCGTAAGTGTGGAGTGTGCGTAAGTGAGAGTGTGTGTAAGTGTGAGTGTTCGTAAGTGAGAGTGTTCGTAAGTGAGAGTGTTCGTAAGTGTGAGCGTTCGTAATTGAGTGTGTGTAAGTGTGAGTGTTCGTACGTGTGAGTGTGTGTAAGTGTGAGTGTGTGTAAGTGTGAGTGTTCGTAAGTGTGAGTGTGTGTAAGTGTGAGTGTTCGTAAGTGTGAGTGTCCGTAAGTGAGAGTGTTCGTAAGTGTGGAGTGTTCGTAAGTGTGAGTGTTCGTAAGTGTGAGTGTGTGTAAGTGTGAGTGTTCGTAAGTGTGAGTGTCCGTAAGTGAGAGTGTTCGTAAGTGAGAGTGTTCGTAAGTGAGAGTGTTCGTAAGTGTGAGTGTTCATAAGTGTGAGTGTGTGCGTAAGTGTGAGTGTTCGTAAGTGTGGAATGTTCGTAAGTGTGGAGTGTGTGTAAGTGAGAGTGTTCGTAAGTGAGAGTGTTCGTAAGTGTGAGTGTTCGTAAGTGAGAGTGTTCGTAAGTGTGAGTGTTCGTAAGTGTGAGAGTGTTCGTAAGTGTGAGTGTGTGTAAGTGTGAGTGTGTGTAAGTGAGGGTGTTCGTAAGTGTGAGTGTTCGTAAGTGTGAGTGTGTGTAAGTGTGAGTGTGTATAAGTGTGAGTGTTCGTAAGTGTGAGTGTGTGTAAGTGTGAGTGTGTGTAAGTGAGAGTGTTCGTAAGTGTGAGTGTTCGTAAGTGTGAGTGTGTGTAAGTGTGAGTGTTCGTAAGTGTGAGTGTTCGTAAGTGTGAGTGTGTGTAAGTGTGAGTGTTCGTAAGTGTGAGTGTTCGTAAGTGTGAGTGTGTGTAAGTGTGAGTGTTCGTAAGTGTGAGTGTTCGTAAGTGTGAGTGGTGAGGGTGGCGTTGGTAGTAGGGTGGTGGTAGTGACGGTGATGTTGGTGATGGTGAAGGTGGTGGTGATGGTGGTAGTGATGGTGAGGGTGGTGGTGATGGTGAGGGTGGTGGTGATGGTGAGGGTGGTGGTGAGGGTGGTGGTGGTGATGGTAATGGTGAGGGTGGTGATAGTGGTGATTGTGATGGTGAGAGTGATGGTTAGGGTGGTGAGGGTGGTGAGGGTGATGGTGAGGGTGGTGAGGGTGGTGAGGGTGGTGATGGTGAGGGTGGTGAGGGTGGTGAGGTTGGTGATGGTTTTGGTGAGGGTGGTGGTGAGGAGCTCCTCACGCTGTTGAAGCTTCTGTGGAGTGCCAGGACCCAGCAAAGTGCACGGAGTGGGAGGCTCAGACGCAGGGGATGGAGGCGGGGCCCTCCCCTGGCCCCGCCCTCGGCCCCGCCCCCGGCCCCGCCCCCGGCCTCTCCCCCCGCCCCTCCCCCCGCCCCACCCCCGGCCCCTCCCCCCACCGAGAGGCGCCAGAGACGACGACGCAGCGAGAGGCGTGGCAGAGACAGCCTGGGGGGGGGGGCATGGGGGTCACCGGGGGGTCACGGGGGGGGGGGTCACCGGGGGGTCAGGAGGGGTCATGGGGGGGTCATGGGTGGGTCATGGGTGGGTCATGGGGGGGGGGGGTCACGGGGGGGTCACGGGGGGGTCACCGGGGGGGGTCACCGGGGGGGGTCACGGGGGGGTCACGGGGGGGGTCACGGAGGGAGGTCACGGGGGGGTCACGGGGGGAGGTCACGGGGGGGCATTGGGGTCACGGGGGGAGGTCACGGGGGTCAAGGGGGGGTGAAGTGATAGGGGTAGAGGTCTTTGGTGAAGTGATAGAGGTCTATGGTAAAGTGATAGAGGTCTATGGTGAAGTGATAGGGGTCTATGGTGAAGTGATAGAGGTCTATGGTGAAGTGATAGGGGTAGAGGTCTATGGTAAAGTGATAGGGGTAGAGGTCTATGGTGAAGTGATAGAGGTCTATGGTGAAGTGATAGAGGTCTATGGTGAAGTGATAGAGGTCTATGGTAAAGTGATAGAGGTCTATGGTGAAGTGATAGAGGTCTATGGTGAAGTGATAGAGGTCTATGGTAAAGTGATAGAGGTCTATGGTGAAGTGATAGAGGTCTATGGTGAAGTGATAGAGGTCTATGGTACAGTGATAGAGGTCTATGGTGAAGTGATAGAGGTCTATGGTGAAGTGATAGAGGTCTATGGTACAGTGATAGAGGTCTATGGTGAAGTGATAGAGGTCTATGGTAAAGTGATAGAGGTCTATGGTGAAGTGATAGGGTAGAGGTCTATGGTGAAGTGATAGAGGTCTATGGTGAAGTGATAGAGGTCTATGGTAAAGTGATAGAGGTCTATGGTAAAGTGATAGAGGTCTATGGTGAAGTGATAGGGGTAGAGGTCTATGGTGAAGTGATGGGGTAGAGGTCTATGGTAAAGTGATAGAGGTCTATGGTAAAGTGATAGAGGTTTATGGTGAAGTGATAGAGGACTATGGTAAAGTGATAGGGGTAGAGGTCTATGGTGAAGTGATAGAGGTCTATGGTGAAGTGATAGAGGTCTATGGTGAAGTGATAGAGGTCTATGGTGAAGTGATAGAGGTCTATGGTAAAGTGATAGAGGTCTATGGTGAAGTGATAGAGGTCTATGGTGAAGTGATAGAGGTCTATGGTGGAGTGATAGAGGTCTTTGGTGAAGTGATAGAGGTCTATGGTGAAGTGATAGGGTAGAGGTCTATGGTAAAGTGATAGAGGTCTATGGTGAAGTGATAGGGGTCTATGGTGAAGTGATAGAGGTCTATGGTGAAGTGATAGGGGTAGAGGTCTATGGTAAAGTGATAGGGGTAGAGGTCTATGGTGAAGTGATAGAGGTCTATGGTAAAGTGATAGAGGTCTATGGTGAAGTGATAGAGGTCTATGGTGAAGTGATAGAGGTCTATGGTAAAGTGATAGAGGTCTATGGTGAAGTGATAGAGGTCTATGGTGATGTGATAGAGGTCTATGGTAAAGTGATAGAGGTCTATGGTGAAGTGATAGAGGTCTATGGTGAAGTGATAGAGGTCTATGGTACAGTGATAGAGGTCTATGGTGAAGTGATAGAGGTCTATGGTGAAGTGATAGAGGTCTATGGTACAGTGATAGAGGTCTATGGTGAAGTGATAGAGGTCTATGGTAAAGTGATAGAGGTCTATGGTGAAGTGATAGGGTAGAGGTCTATGGTGAAGTGATAGAGGTCTATGGTGAAGTGATAGAGGTCTATGGTAAAGTGATAGAGGTCTATGGTAAAGTGATAGAGGTCTATGGTGAAGTGATAGGGGTAGAGGTCTATGGTGAAGTGATGGGGTAGAGGTCTATGGTAAAGTGATAGAGGTCTATGGTAAAGTGATAGAGGTTTATGGTGAAGTGATAGAGGACTATGGTAAAGTGATAGGGGTAGAGGTCTATGGTGAAGTGATAGAGGTCTATGGTGAAGTGATAGAGGTCTATGGTGAAGTGATAGAGGTCTATGGTGAAGTGATAGAGGTCTATGGTAAAGTGATAGAGGTCTATGGTGAAGTGATAGAGGTCTATGGTGAAGTGATAGAGGTCTATGGTGGAGTGATAGAGGTCTTTGGTGAAGTGATAGAGGTCTATGGTGAAGTGATAGAGGTCTATGGTGAAGTGATAGAGGTCTATGGTGAAGTGATAGAGGTCTATGGTAAAGTGATAGAGGTCTATGGTAAAGTGATAGAGGTTTATGGTGAAGTGATAGGGGTAGAGGTCTATGGTGAAGTGATAGAGGTCTATGGTAAAGTGATAGGGGTAGAGGTCTATGGTAAAGTGATAGGGGTAGAGGTCTATGGTGAAGTGATAGAGGTCTATGGTAAAGTGATAGGGGTAGAGGTCTATGGTAAAGTGATAGGGGTAGAGGTCTATGGTGAAGTGATAGAGGTCTATGGTAAAGTGATAGAGGTCTATGGTGAAGTGATAGAGGTCTATGGTGAAGTGATAGAGGTCTATGGTACAGTGATAGAGGTCTATGGTGAAGTGATAGAGGTCTATGGTGAAGTGATAGAGGTCTATGGTACAGTGATAGAGGTCTATGGTGAAGTGATAGAGGTCTATGGTAAAGTGATAGAGGTCTATGGTGAAGTGATAGGGTAGAGGTCTATGGTGAAGTGATAGAGGTCTATGGTGAAGTGATAGAGGTCTATGGTGAAGTGATAGAGGTCTATGGTAAAGTGATAGAGGTTTATGGTGAAGTGATAGAGGACTATGGTAAAGTGATAGGGGTAGAGGTCTATGGTGAAGTGATAGAGGTCTATGGTGAAGTGATAGAGGTCTATGGTGAAGTGATAGAGGTCTATGGTGAAGTGATAGAGGTCTATGGTAAAGTGATAGAGGTCTATGGTGAAGTGATAGAGGTCTATGGTGAAGTGATAGAGGTCTATGGTGGAGTGATAGAGGTCTTTGGTGAAGTGATAGAGGTCT